AAATGAAGATTGCATCAACATTCATGCATTCATAAGAACATCATTTGCACAATAGATAATGCCTTTCATTGATACATCTGAGTGCATTCAAACATAAGGTTTTGCAGATCTTCATATGAAAAAAGAAGATTCATGATGAACAATACTTTACAAGAAGAAGGTAGAATTCAAAACCTCGAATACAAGAATCATACCAACATCTGAAGAATAGATGGACGTAATCCACAAAAACAGCCTTATCTTAAGATTGGGGCATGTTACCCAATCAACATGATATTTTGAAAAATAATGAGAAAACGATTTTCATAGTTTCTCATTCAATCTTTTCTGAAAATGAAATTGTTGAAAAGTAAGAAAACGATTTCCATAGTATCTTACTTAGTAAACCATTTCCCACATCTATAAGACCTACAGTGCAGGATGTTTTCAAATAAAATTTATCTCACTTGAGATTGTTTTTCTTAAAACAAATTTGTCTCGCTTGAGACAGTTTCACTTGAAACAAAAATTTATCTCACTTGAGATTGTTTTTTCTTAAAACAAAGATTTGTCTCGCTTGAGACAGTTATTTCGAGTTATTTTGAAATGGGGCATGTTACCCAATCAACAAGTTATTTTGAAAAATAATGAGAAAATGATTTCCATAGTTTCTCATTTTATCTTTTATAAAATGAAATTGTTGAAAAGTAAGAAAACGATTTCCTTAGTTTTTTTACTTAGTAAACTACTTCCCACATCTGTAAGTCCTACAGTGCATGATGTTTCCAAAAAGCCTTCGGGAGCTTTTTGATGTTTTCAAAGCCTTAGGGTCATCTGTAAGTCCTACAGTGCATGATGTTTCCAAAAAGCCTTCGGGAGTTTTTTGATGTTTTCAAAGCCTTCGGGTCATCTGTAAGTCCTGCAGTGCATGATGTTTCCAAAAAGCCTTCGGGAGCTTTTTGATGTTTCCAAAAAGCCTTCGGGAGCTTTTTGATGTTTTCAAAGCCTTCGGGTCATCTGTAAGTCCTGCAGTGCATGATGTTTCCAAAAAGCCTTCGGGAGCTTTTTGATGTTTTCAAAGCCTTCGGGTCATCTGTAAGTCCTGCAGTGCATGATGTTTCCAAAAAGCCTTCGGGAGCTTTTTGATGTTTTCAAAGCCTTAGGGTCATCTGTAAGTCCTGCAGTGCATGATGTTTTTAAGACCTCTGGAATGATGTTTTCAACATTTCAGTCTTACTCAAAAGAAGGAAAATGAAAATATTATTGTTTTTCCGTCTTTGCTCTATTCTTGTTAACACAAGAATAAGCAAAGAGGGGCAGCTGTAAACACTAATTTTTTTTCTATTTTTGTTTTATTATTATTATTATTATAAATATTATTATTATTATTATTATTATTAAAATTATTATTATTATTAAATATTATTATTATATATTATTATTAAATAATTATTACAAGCCCAAATACAAACCATCCAGGCCCAATCAATCAGACCCAACAGAGTTGGCCCAACAGTAACCCTGAACCCTTCTAGGATTTACATCCCATACACCCAGCCGCCACTTCTATCAACCGTTGGATCTGAAATATCCAACGGTCCACAGGATACCAGCATGAAGCCCTAGGGTTTCATAACCCTAGGTTATCATTCAGCCGCCGCTGCTTCCAGACGTTCCAGCTGCCAGTGCCATGCCACGAAATCACCGCCTCGCCAGAAGCCTCCAGAAGCCAGCTTCCCCTCCACATGTCGAGCTCTATGGTGAGTCACCACATAGCTCGGTGACTCACCAAACTCCTTTCCTTTAACCGGTCCGATGAGAGCCTCGTCGAGGCTTATAAAAGCCATGGAGAACCTGCAAAATAATGAAGAGGGGGGACAGCCACAGACAGCAAGCAAGAAAGGAGAAAACCACACAACAACTCACAGCAAGCAAAGAAGAGAGCAAGAACAGAAAAAAAGAAGGAAAACAAAAAGCAAACCACAAAATAAAAGAAAAAAGCCAGAGAAACTTACCGAGGAAGACAGCACCTCGATCGGAGTCACCACCGGCCTCCAAGCGTCACCAAAAACCTTCGAAAACCGAAGGTATTTTCCTAGATTTGCTCCGATTTGGAGCTATTTAAGAGAAAGGAACACCGGAACCGTCATTAGGACGGTCCGATCTACGTTCTGGTATAAAAATAAAATTTTCCGGCCACCGGATGCGGTGGCCGGCGGCGGAGATAACGGCCTTGTGGCTGCCGGCTGGCGACCAGATTCCCTCCGGTGAGGGAACCTAGAGAGAAGCCAGAGAAATGCTTCTCTCTGTTTTAGAGAGAAACTGAGAAAGAGAGAAATGAGGAAGCTTGGCCCTTCGGGCCAGGCGTTTAGGGTATTTATACCCCTTCCCAAACGACGCCGTTTTGGGGAGGGGTATCTGTGTAATTTCATAAAGGTTAAACCCTTTCCGCAGCCATCCTAATTTGTAATCCTTACATTTTAGTCACTGAACCCAATTTTAGATCTTTATAATTCGGTTCTTTAATTTTAATTTTATTTATTTTAATCCTTTATATTAAATAACATATTTAGGGTAAATATCATATTTAATCCTTTAATTTTAATAATTAATATTTTAATCCCGAGTACATATTTTTAATTTATTTTAATCTGATATTCGAATTTTATATAATTTTTATTTTAGTCACCAAATTAATAAATAAGGAGAATAGCATGTTTAATCCCTGTAATTTTAAATAATTAATCACGAATTAGGTATTTAATTCTATTAAGTTCTAATTTAGTCACCAATTTCAATTTTTATTTTTTACAAGTTTTATATATAGTTTTAATTTTATTATTTATATGTTTACTCTTAATTATTATTATTATTATTTAGTCATAAATATATATATTTATCTAATAAATAATATTTATTTTATTTATTAAAAACTTATTTAATTATTTTTAACCTATTTTAATCATGTTTTAATATTTATTTATTTTTCAATATTAAGAAAGGGCAGTCTTAAGACAACTGGATGTCCATTTTCTGATATTTTTAAATAAATAAATATTTTATTTTTTAAATCATATATTAATTATTTTAATTATATATTTTTTAATATCGAAGAAAAGAGCTGTCTTAAGGCACCTAGAAACCCTTTTCTGATATTTCTAAATAAATAAATATTTTATTTATAAATATATAAATTAATATTTTCCATAATTATAATTTTGAAATAATAGGATTATAAATTAAATATATTTTGAATTTTTAAAATTTTAATAATAGAGACAATTTATAGTTAAAAAGTATCAATTTTGGGCGTTGTAGGAGTGCTAATCCTTCCCTAAACGTAACCGACCACGAATCCCTTTTATTATTAAAAAGAATGAATTTTTGGTTAAAACGCATATCAGTTTATCTTTTAATCGATGTTTTCTTAAAAACTCTTTTAAAAGATTATTTTTAAGTATTCGACCTACCTGACCCAAAAGGCCGATGGCGACTCCCAAATTATTTTTAAAAAAAACCATTTATTCACATCACTTTTCCCGCCAAGTAAAATTTTAGTGCCCGGACGAAAACCGGTTACGACAATATCATTTTTATAAGTAAGTTCATATAAATATATCAATGCGTTTAGTATATTTTTGTTTTAGTAGCCTACGGATACTCAGATTTTACTTCCTCATCAAGTATATAACACTCTCAATTCGATCTAGTCAGAAACTCGAATGAAGATGACACACCAATTGATTAAAATTTAGTTGTATTCAAATCGGAGATAAAACAGAAAAACAATTATTGTCTTAATCAACAAGCAACTCAAATAATTATATTTTAACATCAAATTGAGTCTAACATGCATTGAATCTTCAACATACATAAATTTATACTTCCACTTAAACATACAATCATGTATGATGTTTTAATTGCTCTTAGTCAACCTTAATTCCAAGGTTTTATGCGATGAGATTGACGAGCCTTGGAACATTCTATTCTTTTCAATGGTATGACAAGTTTAGAAGAGGCATAATGCGTTAATTTTCTAAGGGGATCATGTTGATTCGAATGTCGTGCTTTAAATAAGTTTTACATGTGTGAAGCATTATACCTCTACTCCAGGGAATAATCCATCGTGTTCAGTTCAAGCTGATGAGCGGCTTCAATGGCAGTTGGCCCACCCCGGTTGGAGTTGTCTTAATTCAGATGGGGTCATATCTCTTTCAACATGCCTTGGCTTAACTAGGAGCCTATTTCGCGATCATATCAATAATTTCCTCTTGGCCTTTTACAAAATATTTTGGGTTGTCTTCCGTTCTTCAGGCTGAGTTTCAGAGTCTGAAGCTTGCTTGGTTGAATGACTTAAACGTGTTACGGTCCAAAAGAACAATGCTGATGTCATCAATCTCCTCTCATCACCTTCTTTCGAGTGCCCCAATACTTTGGTGAGAGCCATTGCTAACATCTGTAGTAAATCTTGGCTCGTTGATTTTCATTTGATTCGACGAGAAGCTAATGAAGCGTCTGATTACATGACCAAAATCGAGTCCTTACCGAATGGGATACCCTGTTTCTAAGACACCTCTAGATAGTTTGCTTAATGCATTACACAGAGAATAAAAAACTAGATGTGATGACTCAGTTCTCATTTTCATATTAGAAAAATGATTTGTACTTTTTCAGAAAAAAAATAAAAGTAAATAAAAAACTAGATCCCTAATTCATTAATTGCAGCACTTTATGAATCAAATATTTCTATAAAGCAGACGAGATGGTCCCAACTAAATGGGGCTACTGCTTCTGCTTCTGGCTAATTCATGCGTTTTGGTTAATCACTGGTTTGAAGGACCCGACCATCAGATCCGGATTGTGCTTTTCTCTGTGTCTGTAGGAATATGATGCCCAGGTGACCATGTAAAGACCGGTAATTATTAGGAACCCCCCGATCGTGCTGTAATTGGAGCAACATTAAAATTTTATAAGTTTGACTATGACATAAAACGGATAAAACCCACCAACCTTCCCAAATATATCAGACTCCCGAGGAAAATTCTCGACAGAAAGGCCGATGCTGCTGGTTGAAGCAGATTAAAGAGAGCAACCAAAGTAGGCCCCAAGATCTTGTTCGACCATGTCAACAGTCCGTAGTTAAGAGCAGATGCAGCATTGCCTTTACGCCTCACCTATGCTTGTTTTATGCATATTATAACACATGGACAACAAACTTACAGCATACAATACTGCGAAAATCTCAGGATGTGTTAAACTCCAGTCTGTCGATTCATTCATCGTAAGCAACGCCTTCGATACCGTCAACGCAGCACCGAAAAAATACGAAAACACCATGACGGAAATGTTGGCAGGATACTTGGCCAAAACTGGAGCCTGGAAAAAACCACTAAGCAAAACCCAGATGTTACATGAAAGTATGTAATAGCTTTCGGTAAAAAAATACTGCTGCAAAATGAAGATGTTAACATTAACTAATGCAAATAATGGTAAAATCGCTGTTTTAAAAGTAATTCTGTTTGAATTGATGTAATGCCGAAACGGATGCGAGTAATTTTTTATCGGAGAGAGCAACACAAGCGGTTCCACTTCCTCACTTTGGGTGTATGAGGTTTGGAAGACTGTTAACGTTGAGGGAAAGATCCACTTTCAAAATTACACCAATCCGACGAAATTACTTCTAACACAACTTTTACCACGATACAATAACTATATCGATTTTTTATCTTAATAATTATTTTTTGCATTACTTAATACTAACATCTTCATTTTGCAACAGTAATTTTACCAACAGTAGCTTACCTGAATGACCAGGAAAGCAGCCATGCACATGCAGTTGGCTATTAGGCATAAAACTCCGATATGCCAGGGTTTAAGTCCGAGCGCAAACAAGCTAGAAATAAGCCATCCAGGACCTTCAGGTTGAGCCCTGGCACCGATATCATTTTGTGCAGCAAAGTCTTCACTCATCTGTCAAGTCAAGGTTGGATCACGAAATAGAACCATCAATACTGCACCAGAAACACAGAACAGGGTGCCTCCGACCTTTGCTTGACCTTCAAGTCTTAGCAAGTTCACTCTTTCTGTACTGCATGTACAATTCCATACAAATATAAAATGGAGCAAATATATAGTAAACTAGTTAATTAGAAAGAGAGAGTACATAATGCCATTACCCCTTCATTACAGCCAAGAGAAAGGTAAAGACTGGAATTGAAGGCTGTATGACAACAGCATAAGTGTTAACAGCCGGTTGGCGAAAATCCTTTTCCAATTAACCAAAAGCTTGATGAGTTGGCTATTACAGGAAGTGTTAACGCAGCAAGTGATTATCAGGAGTTATAAATCAGTCAACTCATTTTTTGTTAAATTCGAAAAATTTGTACTCCATTCGTGATCGTTCCGTCTGCCATGATCCACAGGTTATAAGATCAATCACAATGCTTTGATAATGCATAAGCCAAAACAATAGAATCGAGAGAAACGGATGCAAAACGAGAAATGAAAATGACCCTATCGATTTAAAATGATGGAGACAGGAGAAGAGAGGAATTATACTTTTCTTGAACATAGGCGACGGGGGCAAGGAAAGAGAGAGTAATAACATCACGGAAGATGGAGAAGACGAGCTTATTGACACCAACGTTGAGGGATACTTTGGTAATTACATGGTAGCCTCCATGTATGAGTTGCACTAACGCCATGGAAGCATGAGCTTTCCTGGCTTCTCCATTCATTATATATAAGCGAGTATTCTGGGTTATTTTTGGTTATGGATCGAAAACAGGAGCGAAGCGAATGGGCCTTGCGGATAGGGTCTTGTCCCTTGAATTTTTAAAATTCTTTGAAATTTAGGTAAATTTATCCATTCTTTTAAGCATTTATTGCACAAACAATCTCCAAATTATATTTAGATTCTAAATTAATTTTAACCTTGAGGTCGTGGGATCGAGTCCCACGGAGGGCATTTCATAATTCGGAGGTCTCTTACGGAAGCTGCTCTCAACCTGGTGTTGGGGGTAGCCTACTATCTTACCTCCCCCTTACCCCATACATATGAGAAAAAGGGACAGCCATTTTTTTAAATTAATTTTTAAGGTAAACTATATCAGTGACCGCTCAATTATAGCTCATTTTCATTTCGACCCATTTTTGAATTTTTGTCAATCAGACCATCCAACTATTTAAATGTATTCAATCATGTCAATAGTTGTTAATGGTTAACGGAAGTACTGACTTGATAGTTAATAAAATTGGTATAATTTACATTTAGTCCTTATTGCTTACACAATCTATCAAATTGGTCATAATTTTAAATTAATTCAATATATTTAATATTCCAATTATATGATGACATGTATCACCATCTGATGGAAGGAAAAATTAAAACAACATTGTAACTAACGAGGTGGGGGATCAAACCTGTGCCTCCTTGAATGAAGGCAACAACCTCAATCACTGCTCCAAGACTTGTTTATGGTATAATACTTACATCAAATAATATTTATCTTATAATATAATGAAGCCAGAACAATGAAAATAGAAGCAACACTAAACGACTTAATTCAAATAAATTAATATTTTAAAATATATTTGTTAGTATATATGAAGTTCAAATTGTCAATCGAAATAATTTTCCAATAGGGGATGAATTGGTTTTTGATAACAATTTAGGGAGTAAGGAGATTTAAAGGATGAGAAAAATAATGCACAAGATTTATAGTGGTTCGCTTATCAACCAAGTCTACATCCTCTACCTAAGCTCCTCACTTAGGATTTTCCAACAAATTCACTAATTTGTTCTTTTCTTTTTCAATGATCGAGAGTAACATTTACAACTCCATATCTTTTCAATTGGCTAAGATAGAACCAAAATCCCTTTTACAAAAGGAAAAAGATGTAAACAAGAAAACCTCTCTAAGATAGGTGTTTACAAAGTATTAAGCTCACAATAAAAAATATTTACAAGAGAAAGAAAATAAGAATGAAAAATGTTTCTCTTGTGTATGATTGTTTGGATAGGTGTTCTAACCATTCTTCAAGTGTCTTGAACTTATATTTATATGTTGGAATGTGTTTGTAGACGTTTCTAGCCGTTGGGGATGTTTTCTACGCAAAATAAAATTGTCCAGGATAGGGAGTACCAGTACTCATTTAATGAGTATCGGTATTTCCTTTAATATATTTAAATAAAACTGGCAGTTACTAGCCGTTGAGCCTGACGGTATCGATACTACTATGTAAAGTAGTATCGTTACTCCTTTGAGTATCGGTACCTATTTTGCATTCCAGAATTTGAGCAAGTTGGTAGGATCGATACTACCTTGAGAGTATTGATATTTCTCTTACCTTTGGTATCGATATCACATGAAAATTATCGATACTGTTCATATAATATCGGTACTGTAAGAACAATATCAGTACTTCGTACGTGAAAGACAATTTTGTGCTTAAATTCTACTTTATTGGACTTTGAATTATATTTGAAAAACTTTTAAAAGCTTTGAACAAATTCAATTAAGTCCAAAAATATTTTGCCTTAATTTGTTATATCAAAATATTATAAAACATAATTCAACAATCTACCCCCTTTTGATATAACAAAACATTTAAAAATTTGTTTTTTGGCAAAACTCCCCCTTAATAAAACATTTAATGAAAAAGAGACATATTTTGGAAAATGTTAAAAGCTCCCCCTTTTTCATTGAGAAATTGAATTTTTCAAACCATACTTCTCCCCCTTTTTGTCATATAAAAAATAATTCAACTTTAAAGTTCAAAAATAACAATGGAGAGTAAGTGGTAAATTTAACATTAAAATCTTTTGAAAAATCAAAGTTCCCCTCAATAAAAGCATTCCAAACAAAAATTTGACTTTAAAAATGACAATTAAAAGACATTGATTCCAACAAAGAATAACAAACATGTTAGTAATACATGAAATTTAATATCCAAGTCTAATATACTTATGAAATACCAAATGTTATATTTAAGTGCACATGCATAAAGCTTATCCAAAATGTTATACATTTGAAAAGTTGATATCAATTGTTAGAGAGATTCATTTGCATTTAAACCAATTTTGACCAAAATTCATTATGATGAACTAAAAATTATGAAAAATCATTAAAACTTTAAAATGGTCATCATAATATTTTCAACATACATGAGATGAAAATATAAATTATTTAAAATCAAGCTCACGCATGCTTAAATCTAAATGAGCAACCAAATAATCAAAAACAAAAGCATTAAGCTTAGTGAACCCATTCATTTTCAAGTGTGGCTAGAGTATTTGAATATCTTCACTTCCATCACCATTGCTCCCACACACCTACAAGAGACATTCATTTGGATTTTGGTATCCAAATTGCTTTGGATCCTTGAACATTAGTTTCAATACCTCTTGTTCCCTTAGGAACCCATACTGTCCAATTTTAAAAGCGTTTCCTTTCTTTAAAGGATAAGTATGTTCCAAATGACCATGAAAATGGCAATGTGAGCATTTTGTCATTTTTATCATAGATGAATTGTTTTTAGAAATGATTTCTTTTTCTTTTGTTAAGAGTCAAACTTAACTTTCAAATCAAGATTTTCTTTTTCCAAATCACTGATTTTGATTTTTGAAACCTCAAAATCATTTTACAAAATTTGATTTTGCTTTTCAGAATATAATTTTGCTTTAAGAGAAAATCATTTTAAACTTTGAATTTTGAAATCAATTTCTTATATTTAGAATTTATGGTATCAAATTCAAATACAATTCATCACATGCAACTTGTAACTCATCAAACGAATAAGAATTTAATTCACTAGAGTTCCAAATTACCATTGAATCTTCATTGATGGCCATAAAGCATAGGTTGGCTACTTCATCTTCATTATTGAAGTCATCTTCATCACTCCAAGTTGCAGCAATGCCTTTTTCTTAATGATCCTTTCTTATTTAGGAAGGGACAATCATATTTGACATGCCTCGTTCTTTGACATTCGAAGCACACCGGGGGACCATTCTTTTTGCTTGATTAATACTTCACTTATTTGGAAGTCACGAATCTCTTGAATATTTTGAAGAACTTGGCCATCTCTTCTTCTTTATCTTCATCCACATCTTCATTTGTATCTTGATAGCTCTCATTGGTGGATTTGAAGGCAATGCCTACCTCTTTCGTCTTGATTTTCTTTTATTCATCTTCTTCTTCTTCATTCACCATCAACTCATGAGTGAGAAGGGAACCAATAAGCTCATCAAGAGTGAGAGTCTTTAGGTTCTTAGCTTTGATGATTGTCATCTTCTTTGATTGCCAAGACTTTAGAAGAGAGTAGATATTTTTCTCATTAGCTTATCATTAGAGATCACTTCTCTAAATCTCTTGAGACCTTTTAAAATCACGAAAAATCTATTTGTCATAGCTTTGATGTCTTCATCAGGTTTCATCTTGAAATTCTCATAGCTATGGTTAAGAAGATTGATTTTTGTTTCCCTCACTTTATCGAGTCCTTCACTTTATCGGTTCCTTTATTGGTGACTTGGAGCTTGTCCCAAATCTCTTGGCATTAGAACAAGATGAGATTCTTTCATATTCATCAGGGCCTAATGCACAAAAGAGGATGTACATAGCCTTTGCATTGAGCTGAAACTTCTTCTTCTCTCCATCACTCTAATAATTCATCTCATCGGTTCGAATGGAGTATTCTTTACCGATTGAGTTCAAAGCTCCTAGATTGTTGGCTTGAATAAAAATCTATTTTCATAGCTTTTGTCTTAAAATAAGGTTTGATCTTGAAGTCTCATAGCTAGGTCGAAGATATTTGTTGCTCATTTACTTCTTGATCATCTCAATGTGGTTAAACCTTCTAATGAGTCAAGCTCTGATACCAATTGTTAAGATTTATAAAGCTAAATTGACAATCGAAATAATTTTCCAAGAGGGTGTGAATTGGTTTTTGATAAAAAATTAGGGAGTAAGAAGATTTAAAGGTAAGAAAAATAATGCACAAAGATTTATAATGGGTCGACTTATCAATCAAGTCTACATCCACTACCTAAGCTCCTCATTTAGGATTTTTCATCAAATCCACTAATTTGTTCTTTCTTTTTCAAGGATCAAAAGTAACCTTTACAACTCTCTATATTTTCAATTGGCTAAGATAGAACCAAAACCCCTTTTACAAAAGGAAAAAGATGTAAACAAAAACCTCTCAAAGGTAGGTGTTTACAAAGAACAATGCTCACAAGAA